ATCTGTTGTGTCTGCAGTTAAGCAGAAGCACCAAAAAATAAGTCTTGTACTAAGACTCCTGGGAGAAGAGCGCGACAGCTGTATTGATCACAGCTGAGTAGCTGGACAATGCTAATGAAGTCCCTAAAGCCCCAGTCTGAAGAGGCTCAGTCTTGAATGTGGGGGAGGTTTTCTGAGAAACAGCCTCCTCCTTAACTTGTTGCAGTGTTGCCCTCTTGAATTTGGAAGATGTCCCCCAGCACTTACAGATGCTGTTACCCGGTCACCTCCCTTCAGCCTGCATGCCTGAACCCCATTATCAAGACAGTGGTGCATTTGGGAGCCAGACGTGTGATACTGGAGGTGTCTGCATGGGCTGTGATAATGTGGTGCCAGCACTGATGTCTGCTGTCACTGCTGCATATGCTGGGACAGGGAGCACTGATAGCAGAAACCGAGCTTTGCATATTGATTGCTTGGTGCTGATGCAGATTCACAGCTGAGCCCTTGAGGAGGGCTCATATCCTTCTGTTCAAAGTTATTTTTCCAGTCCTTTGACTCTTTCTGGGATGGTTTTTTTTTGGTTTTTTTTTTTTTTTTTGGGTTTTTTTTTTTTTATTCCTTGGGCCATCTTGTTCCAATTATTTTCCAGGAAATGAGAGCCAATAAAAGAAAGCCTTTCCGCTATGAATACATGTGTATTTAAAAATGTAGATATTAAAAATGCTCCCTGAGCAGAAATAAAAGCCAGTCTGGTTTATGCAAGTAATACCACAATCAGAGTAGCAGCTTGGCCCTTTAAATATACCAGTGGTGTTTAGATAATACTTACCACAGGTATAGCTATGCTAGTGTAAAAGGTAGCTAATGATCTAAGGGGAGGAAGGGAAGGAAACCCTACTAAATTAAGCTCCTGTATCCTGGTTATTATCCTCATCTGGCAATTTATGTTAGTATAAGCTGTCAGTAAGGACTGCCTCTTGATTACTACAGTTCTCCATACAAAACACTTAGTGATGGTGTTTCAACAGCACTACCCTTCCTACTAACTTCACATGGGGGCAGCACGACATTGCTTTGTCAGCGGCAAATAAGTCCTACCTGAGAAGCAGCTTTGCCTGGGTGAATGTACAAGATACAGGGATTTCTGGCTCCAGGGTAATTTCTTTATAAGTTTGAAAAACCCAAACAAACCAAACAGTTTTAAAAATAACTAAACCCTACATACTCAGCTTAGCTTTCAGCTGGGAATTGATGTTATTGTTTTATATTACCAGGAAGAAGAATTTCTGCTGATAAAGTGCACAAAGTGCAATAAAATCCAGCTCTTGCAGTAAGCACGGCCTGGCTTTTATATGCCAAGAGATCTAAACAGTAGTACCCTGATGGTGAATTCTAGCTTTTCTTTGGGAGATGAGAGTGAGAGGACTGCAGGTCACAAGTTTTGATTTGTCACATTGTGGACACAACACAGAAACAAAGTAATTTCTGATTCCAGATTTTCAAGGTTTTTGATGAGGTTGCGAAATAGTTTGACAATAGTGATGTAATGGTAGGTGCAATAGCTAAATGTAACATGTAAAGCACATAAATGTCTGCTTGGTGTCCAGGGCTGGGCAGTGCCAAGCAGGTAATCTCACTCGTACCCCAGTGACCAGGCTACCAAGAATGAAACTGAATATCCTAAAGGAAAGGAAAAGACAGATCCATATGCCATCTAAAGTCTATCTCCAGTAGGTTGAACGGTAAAGGCGATAGGAGTTGCTGCTAGTTTTGTGTCTCTCAGCCTTAGGAATGTGGCAAGTTGCAGAGGGTGGGTTGGAAATATGATAGGGAAAGCAAAACATCCCTCGCAGCAAGAGCCACTTACAAACCATCAGAAGCTCAGGGCACCCCATGGAGGGTTGCATTGCAGGGTTTTCTTTTTCCTAGTTCTAAAGGAGGTCCAACTAAAATAGAGATACAGAATAAGGTGACAGGTCTGCTCCTGCTTCATCTTGGAGAATCTGAGATGGACACCCAAGGGGGAGGGACAGGGACTGTTGTTTCTTCCTTACTATTGTTACAGCTTCCTCTAATTAGTCCTTTCTCTTCCTTCCTGTCCAATGTGTGCTGTCACAGCCAGCCCCAACAAATATTTGCAATACCTCACTGTGACCAGTTCAGCAGCTTAGGCTCAAGGTGTAGTGTCCTTGATTTTCCCCCTGTTGAACTAGGAGCTATTCAGGATTAAATACTTTTGTATTATGCCTATTTTCACACCTTTCCTATAATCTGTGATGTCTTTTTCTGAAGTAGAAGCAGTTGTATTTTCAAGGAGCTTTAGCAAGTGAGGCCTGAAAACCTAAGGAAAGCAAAGCACTGTGTTCTGAAGGCACATAAATACTTCTGAAATATTCCCATCTCTAGAAAGACTGTTGGAATAAAATGGCAAAACCACTGTTGTTATAATAAGGAGAGTACCTGTCAATGCAGTGACTGAAATAATTGATGAGATGTCTTACACAGTCACTTATACACTTACACAGGGGTGATTATCCCACAGCAGCTTTGCCTGCATGGACCAGCATCCTGGTACCAGGAGCTATGTCCCAGCTCAATGCCTGGGTGTGTGGGTATTGCTCTCACACAGGCAATGCAGCATCTGGATGCTGAGTTGTGTGAAAGCTGCAGTGTGCTGTAAATGTACTTATCCCCTACACGGCTGCACAGGCAGGCTGCATTTCAGAGTGTTAAAAATTATGTGGAAAATGCATTTTATCGGTTTCAGACAACTAATAAAAGTAAATTTAATTCTTACTTTCCCTGCTCCAAGAGAGAAGATTTTTCAGGGGCCACAGAACAACATGTGAGTCCTTCAAATGACTGAAATAAAACGTGGTATGTGCTTTCCTGCCATCACGCATTTGGTTTGGGAAGGGCAAAGAACACTTCTGTGGAGCCAAAGGCCTCAGAAAGCTATACCAGGTAGTAGCAGCAAAAATTCAGAGACTTCTATAAAAAATGAAACAAAGTTGAAGCAGGTAACAGAGATTTATAGACTATGGGACCATTATTGAATATCTCTAGGCTTTAAGAACCTTTGCGCACTTAAACATATATATGATGTTCCAACTATAGCTCAAAGTTGCAAGATGCTGATGAGACACAGTGAGTCTGGTGTCTTGCAGTACCTGGGGCCTTAGTGATGGTTTGATTTACTCTAAAAGAGATTGAGCTAATATTATGAGATTACTAGGCATGGGAAAATGAGCAAAAACATTGCAGAGCAGAAGACTGGTTTTGGTTTTGAGGATTTTTTGTGAGCTTTAAACTTTAAATCATACAGATATTACCTGATTGGTTTGTAAAAACAGCGAGGGGAAAGAGAAGAATCTTTGCTAATTAGTCTATTGCTAAATATGTTCTAAAGCATTTTGCAAGGTGCCAAATGTTTCAGGCTTTACAAAGGCATAATGAGGTGTGCCATTATCTCTGGTTTTACCCAGACAAGTTGAGACAAATTCTGAGCTTGAATATATAAAGTACCTGTTAATCTCTGCAGGGGATCTGGTGCTGGTATCTAGTCATGATTGAGGCTCCTAACTGGGAATGAGTATGGCGATAGGTGAAAAGTAGACTATCTTCTCATAGTCTGTTATTGCTATTGGAAGAGATCCAGCTTGCTGAGTATCACTGGAACCATCGACTCAAAAGATGGGGCTGGGAAAGTATTTTGCTTGCCACATATAAAAGAATCCAGAACCTGCTTTTCTTATTATGAAGATGTCAGTCCAACCCAGATCTTAAGAAAATGATCTTGTAGGTATTTAACAGCTGCTGTGCTGTCATTTGGGGCTGCCAGAAGCCCCAACAGGTCAGGAGCTTGTGGTTTTAATTCCTTATCCAGATGATCCCTTTCCCTCACTGTTCTTTGACACTGAGCCACAACACAGGGTGTCTTGGCCAAGGGGTGATTTGAGCGATGTGGGGTGTTTGCATGAAATGGGTCAGAGCAGTGTGTGATGTGCTCCTCACCCCAAAGTGAACATGTTAAAGCTGACAGCTCCAGGTGGCTGCTGATCAGGTGATGAGATGAAGCATCTTAGACTCCATCATTCAAACTCCTGCAAGTTTCTTCTCACGATCCCACTGGGTTGATACGGGCGATGCAGAACTTGTCATGCTGCAATCCCACTTTTTATCTTCATAACCACAAGCTTTTCCAAAGCTGCCCCAGGTTAGTAACCCTTTCTGAGGCAAGGTGTGAGCCTGTGGGACCCACCTCTGCACCTTGCCCTTGTGGTGCCATGGCTCTAGCAATGGGCTGAGCTGTGAAAGGGATGATGCTGGGAAGTTACTTGCTGGGATCTGTAGTGAAGCTGAGGGGCAAAAAAACATTACCTGAGCTCTGATTTCCCCAGAATCTGCTGGTCCAGACTAACACCTCTGTGAAACTCTGCGGCTGTCTAGAAGTGGAAGAAAAGAGAAAAAAAAAGAGGGAGGTGAAGATGGAGGGGAAAGGCCTGGGATGTTCTAAGTGAAAGACAATCATTTAATTGAAGAAGAAAAGCTCGAGAGACTGTGTGAACTTAGATTATGTCTCTGTCACCTTCCTTTCAGTGACATGGCTTGGCAGCAGGGTTTAGAAACAGGACTGGTTACCAGAGCTACCCCTTTCTGCCTTTTTATTAAAAGCAGCATTTTTCACTCGACTCAATGCGTTGTAAGCAGAAGCTTTGGTCGGTAACACCGGAGCTGACTTGGAGGGAAGAGAGAAACAACCCCAGACTTCGTTGCCGCTTCAGCCTCCCGGACGTGTTTGACAGAGCATCCTCGTGTGCTCCCCTGAGCTGCCGCCAGCTTTCAAGGAGCCGTGAGGCGGAGCCATCGCGTGTGTGCGGAGCGGTTCTGTGCGACCCGCAGCGCGTCTGCTGATCCGGGCCGGGGGGGGGGACCTGGGCTGGGGACCGGTGGAGGATGCGGGGCTCAACGCGGGCTCCGGTTCCCCCCCTCAGTTCCTAAGTGCCGCCCCGTCGGACGGGGGCGGTGCTGGCGCATGCGCACTCAGCCCTCACCACCGCCTATAAGTAAGGAGCGCGGCGCCCCCCACCCATCGGCGGTGCGGGGCGCGGCGCCGGACGGGGCGCACGGCGGCGTTGAGCGGCCCCCGGGCGGGAGGAGGATCCCGCACCCGCCGCCTTCACCCATGGACGTGCGCAGGGCGCGGGCCGGGCGGCCAGCACGGAGTAGCGAGTAGCGGCGCCGCCCGCCCCTCTCAGCCCCGCGCACCGCTCGGCCGGTCCTTCCTGCCGGCGGCTCCGCACACAGCTGTCCAGCCCCGGGTATGCGGCGGCGGCGGCGGCAGCAGGACCCGCGGCGAGACTCCCCGCAGCGCGGCGGCTGCATGCCCCGGGGGGCCGGGCGGCGCTGCCCCGGCGCGGCGGGGCTCTGACGGAGCGGCCGCCCGCCGCGCCGCGCCATGCAGGGCGGGCGGTGCTGGCTGCTGCTGGCGGCGCTGGGTTGGCTGCTGCCGGCGGGGGCCACGGCCAGCGGCGAGTACTGCCACGGCTGGCTGGACGGGCAGGGCGGCTGGCGGGACGGCTTCCAGTGCCCCGAGCGCTTCGACGGCGGCGACGCCACCATCTGCTGCGGCAGCTGCGCCCTCCGGTACTGCTGCTCCAGCGCCGAGGCGCGCCTCGACCAAGGCGCCTGCGACAACGACCGGCGGCAGGGCGGCGGCGAACCGGGCCGCCCCGGCAAGGACGGCCCCGACGGCGCGGCAGGTGAGGCGGCGCCGGCCCGGCACTGGGGGCTCCCCCGTGGCTCGGTGGCTCCCGGGGAGCAGCCGCGGGTTCGCGGCGAACTTCTCGCCCGCTCCTTCCCCCTCGTCGCCGGTTGCCCCCTCCCGCGGGACGGAATGGATGGCGGTGGGGCCGGCCAGGCCCGCCTGCAGCTGTTGAACGAACGGGGCACGGCACCCTTGTGTAGATCTTTTTTTCCCCTCCCTGTTGCTGCCGTCCGTTAGAGCAGGTGATACGGGACCGGGTCCTCGCCCCGTCTGTGCTCCCTGTTAAGATGGGAAGTAAAATAATGGAACGATCCGTATGAGAGAAACAAAAAGTAATGTGATCTTCCGAAACGATTTCTGGCCGGCCCCCACTCTGATTGTGTGTATTCACCCACCCCCACTTAGGACCGGTTTTTACAAGATTGAATTTCAGGGATAAACTCTGGTCTTTCTGCTGCTGTTCAAATAAAGCCCTGGTGGCTTCCCAGCGCCCTTGCTGCAATCCGCACAAGCTGAACGCGCTAGAAGTAGCCTGAAGTGATGTTATAATTAGGACAGATTTACTCCTGGAAAACTTGTGTGTTAAGTCTGTAGCAAGTGCGTGCACCTGCTCAAGAGCTGCCGTTGCACTCAGCGCAGAAGTAGAGACAAATTTTTGCAAACCTTTTGTCTAAAAAGTGCTAAAATTGTAGAAGGAACGTGGCATTTTGGTTGTAGTTTGCTCTGTGTGATCAGCGGTGCAAGGAGTTATTCTGACTCGAGCAGACAGCTGACCCCCCTTTGCAGTCCAACAAGGGAATGTTGTTAACAATCGATTTCCTGCTCAGCCTGGCACTGGTGACCTGCATGAGGTGCAGCCAGTGTGCCAGGGCGTGTTGTTATCAGGGTCTGCCTCAGCGTGGTCATTCAGGCTCAGGTTGGGGACCACAGCCCTGCCCAAGTCTTGGGGCTGGGAGGTTCTAGTGGAAATTCTGAAGCCCAGGCATGTTGTCTAGCATCTTCCCCCTGTTTTTCACAGATATATCTGTGCAGGTTTCTTACTAAGGCAGAAAAAACCAGCTTTTTCCCTGGGAGTGCAGAGCAGCTGGAGCCCGTGTTGTTCCCAGGATGGTGTTCACCATCCGCCTCGTTGGGCTTCCGACCCCACCACTGAAGCATCACCCGTACTATCTGCTCCCACTCCTTGCTCACCCCCAGTCCTGCCCTGATGGTCCTTCCTTAAGCCTCACAAGGAGCGATGCTGCCCCTTTGCTGGGAGTGAAGCTTCAGAGCGTGCTGCTGTCACCCCACCACCCGCCCCTCGTTTTCTGAAACCCAGGGCAGCCAGAAACTCATCCCTGGGGCTGCTGCCTGGTCACTGCCTGGCTGTCCCCCTGCCCTGAGGGGTGACAGCAGCCACAGAGGGCTGGCAGAGGGGAGGGATGCAGTACAGTACTGGGCTTGATCATCCTGTTCTCCTGAACTCTAAGCAGGGATCCTGTCCCCACAGCAGTGTTCAAACCCAGTGTTCTCTTGCCTGGTTTTTCTAGTAGGTTGCTTTAGAGACAGGATCTGGTGAGGCGTGGGATTATGGTTGATGTCTAGACTACCATCAACAGGAGGCAGCTGTCCTCCATTGAGGCATGAGCTGTGGACTTTCCTCCCTGCTAGTAACTTTAAAGATGTTTTTGGGAGCTCCAGCCGTTGGTTTTTGCAGCCTTTTTCATCTTCGGCATAAAATGCTCGGCTGCACACACAGCTTGTAGTGCTCACCCTGCATTGACCTGTGTGGGGGGAGGTGGGCTCAGCTTGTGTGAGGGGGACCTTCTGCTAGAGCTGCTGGGGTTTGTCCTTGGCCCCCTGTGACGATGTTTTCCTCACTGTTGCAGTGCCCATCTACGTGCCATTCCTTATCGTTGGATCTGTATTTGTTGCCTTCATCATCCTGGGGTCGCTGGTGGCTGCTTGCTGCTGCAGATGCCTGAGGCCCAAGCAGGAGCCCCAGCAGAGCCGAGCCCCTGGGGGCACCCGCCTGATGGAGACGATCCCCATGATCCCAAGTGCCAGCACCTCCCGGGGCTCCTCCTCACGCCAGTCAAGCACCGCTGCCAGCTCCAGCTCCAGTGCCAACTCGGGGGCCAGAGCCCCCCCAACCAGGTCCCAGACCAACTGCTGTTTGCCCGAGGGGACCATGAACAACGTCTATGTCAACATGCCCACGAACTTCTCGGTGCTGAACTGCCAACAGGCTACTCAGATCGTGCCGCACCAGGGGCAGTACCTGCACCCCCAGTACGTGGGCTATACTGTGCAGCACGACTCAGTGCCGCTGACCCCTGTGCCCCCCTTCCTTGACGGTTTGCAGAGTGGCTACAGGCAGATCCAGTCTCCCTACCCGCACACCAGCAGCGAACAGAAGATGTACCCAGCCGTGACTGTGTAGCGCTGACGCCTTCCTCCCCCTCCCCACCCAGCAGGTTTTTATATCTAAACTAAGCAGTGGAGAAATACTTCCTTGGAACGAAGCTTCCAGAGCATCACTTGTAAATAACTTTGAAAGGCTCATGCATGTCAGACAGTGTTTATAAACCATTTATTTCCATCGGGGTCCGTTGCCAGAAACTGTAGAATGATATCTCTGAATTAACATTACCAGATCCGCTCTCATTCCAGTGCATGATTTACAGCGCCGAAGGATTACGCTGAAAATCCGTATGTATTTCAGATCGCTGTACTTGTGAGATAAATGTGGGAGCCATTAAGTGCCCTTCAGGTATGACACGTTCAGAAGTATTTGCCTAATTAATTCGTAGAAAGAGTTTTGTTACACTGTACGAGGCTGCAGTACTTAAGGAACCTCTTTTCTCCTCTCCCAGCTTCTTAATGACATTTCCTGTTGCTTTACAGACAATCACAACCGAGTGCCAACCAGTGCAATCCCTGCTTGCTGGGTGCTGGTATTGAGCCCTGTGGCTTAACCATCCCTGGTTCAGGGTGAGATGCCACAGAAGGCTGTCTTGCAAAGACCAGTTTTCCTTGTCCCTGGTATTTATGTAGGAATTAGAAGAGTGTGAACTACTCAGCTGTTCCTGCCAGTGCACTTGAAGCCCTTGATTTGGTTTTGTCTCAAGATCAGGACCCAGTAGTGGTTTGCACAGACTTTATGAACTTGTAACTAAGAACAGGGTACGAGGGGCTTGCTCTTCCTGACACAAAGCTTTCGGTACGAGCTGGCAGGGGCTGAGCTGAGCCTGCCTTTGGAGAGAAAGATCGTACTGTGACTCCAAACATGCCTGCTGTAACCTCACTTCCCATGGAACACTAAACCCGTGTGAGTGCACACCAAGTTGTGCCCTGCCTGCGATTGAGTCTGACCATTCAAAAATGGACTTTGTTCCCCTCCAGCCCCCAGCAAGCACCAAGTCTGCTCTGTGGGACTGGGGTGGGATCTCACACAGAGCTATTCCCTTTTCTTCTCTACCTGTGGGGCAAGGGACAAGGAAGGCGCAGCTGTATTTAAAAATAAGGCAATCGGCCCAACCAAAGGATGAAGGTGCTTGTGGCTCCCCGCAATGCCATGGGGCCAGGGAGGAGGGACGGTGCGGACTGCGGGGACGACATTGCAATGGAGCTGCTTTGCTTCATCTGGGTGGAAAAAACTCCAGGAAGCAGCATGCTGGGAATAATCAGACTGTACTAATCACAGTGTGTCACCACGGATGCAACAAACTGTTTAGACTGGTTTTGTCTCTTAAGTAGTCTGCATTTCCATCCATTCTGCAGCCAAAACACCACAACGGAGGACTGAGGCCATATAGCAAACCTGGGCAATTACTGTAACCAGAGCTGATAAAAGATTTCTTATTGTCTGATACTGTATCAGTATGTAGCAATAACTGTGATACTACTTTTTTTGTATGTCTGTTTTTAAACTACATGTCTGTGCTGAAGCGTTGCCAAATCCAATGGTTTACTCGTAAACACGCCACACACAGGCAGTCTGAGCGGGCAGCCATGGTTTGACCACTGACATAGGAAAATGAATAGCTAATTTATCCCAGAGCTGCTGTTCCTGGCTGCCAGCGTCCATTCAGCACGTAGGACCTGGAGAGGAAACTTGGCTTGAGACCCGGCATCCATCTGCCCTGGCTGGGCGCCTTCAGCGAGGCAGCGGCCGGCTGCTGGAGGTGTTGGGTGGCTGCTCTGCTCCAGCACACCCTCAAAGGCAGCGGGTGCAGCAGAGGTGGGTGCTGCCAGGCCCTTGAAGGACCTGCACCAGGGTCTTGT